AATAGCTGAAATCTTGCTCTATTTAACTGTGTTATTATGCTTTCTGTATCTGTTGTAGTTTCCATTAAAACAAATAGGAGGCATTATATATGGCATGCTCCTCGTACTTTCATTATTTTACCAGTCCTTACCTGGTTATCAAAGTAATGAACCTGTTGACACAGCATCGAAATAAACTACATTTTAATCAAACTGATTAAAATCAATAACGATATCAGTGGTTTAATCAGTTTTATAGTTGCACACACCATCAGGTGGTTTGTAAATAAATTAATAAATAAATAAATCATATTACTATTGAATTGCATGGCTAAATGGCTCCATTTTTTCATTGCAAAATTGGATCCATCTAGCTCTGCTATTCAATAATGATGTCTTTCACTTATTTATTTATTTATAAACCACCTGATGATGGTCCATGTAGTCAAAACGCGTAATGGTGGAATGTGACAATAAAACTGATGAACTCACTTGTGGGAACTGCCCACATTCAAGCAAACGTTATAGTGACAACACAAGTATCATTGCTTAGCAACGGCGAGTAAGCAGCCATTGCTAGGCAAAACCTACAACCATACGAGCAGTAATGTGTTTTTATGTGGTCCAATGCAATGTGATATAAGAGGAAGGTATAGTGATATTAAGAGGGAGAGTGGTGTGGGTGTTGCATACAGTTCTACAGTTCTAGTTCAGTTTGCGTTTCAATACAACGTTCAAGGTGTTATCATTATTCTTAAATTCTTCAATCTCAAGTTCGTCTGTATACTGTGCAACTATAATAAATTTTATAGAACAGTTCGACAAGTGGTTATCTCTTCATACATCGACATCCCACGCACTAATATTTTTATTGATTTTAATCATTTAATTAAAATTTAACTTTGCTGTTGTGTTTTATTATTAGTATGTTAAGTAACTCTCAGTACCCTCTGTGCTGAATTATTTTTGAATAAATCTTTTATAAATAATTTAAGTGCAAAGTATGAAAATTTGTGATAAAATGTAACTAATCTTACCTCAGACAGGGAACAGGCATCAGAAGTTGCAAAAATGTTGAATTATTCATTATTTTTCACAACGGAAAAGTCCATTAAATCAGGGTTGTCCAAGACGGCCAAAAAAGTACAAAATTCACTATCCCAGTCTTATCACTATGACACATGTTGACCAAAGTCCACAACTTTATTTAAAACTATTATAGAAAGCACCGCACACTATACGAAGCCATTTTTACTAGCCCTGTGAAATACCCATGCCACATGACCACAGAGCGCGTGTCTCGCTGTGCAGATGCAGCCTTTTACATTTCTTAAGCTAGAGGGCAGAAGAATGCAGCAATTGAAATAAATGATGCTTCAATACGTTTCCAAGAGCTGACTCTATGCACATGCCAAGTTTGAATGGGATTGGTGCAAAGAACCTAAGATTTGAAACTCTAAAGTCACAATATGGGTTTTGTCGATCGCAGCAAGGACGCCATGTTTTTCAGAGATCAACATGTTGACCGCAGCAGTGTAAGGGTTAAAAGAACCTAAAAGTAATCATATGAATCTCACCGGCCCTTTGCTGTAGGGAATCTTCAACAGTTTCTTTATATTCTCTGCGTCTGACACTACATCCACTTCACCCACACAATCTGGAAACATGTGAGCCATCCGGAAACTGAAATTTAAACATGACATTAGGACAACATATCTTTGTATAGGAATACCAAATCCAAAAGCTCTGGCCTAAGAATTCTGCTACAGCACTAAATTTTACTAGCATACAATAATATCAATTTACAGTTCATACATACAACAGTTATTATAAAAACTTATGATGACCTGCTTTGATCAAAATGTTTCTATTTACATGGTGAGGATAACAGGCACTATAAACTAATAATTATATCATTTAGTGGTTAAATTCTGTATTCAATTTACACAAGTACAGATTCAACTAACTCACTAACTGATTGACTGACCAAGCAGCTAGCTAAATCCATGAAGCTGAGTTTCCAGCCATCACTGTTGGCATTTTTAGTATGTATTCTATGACAGACTCAGTAGATGGAGGGTTAAGTAGTAGGAGTGTCACTCCTACCTCAGAAGACAGTATGGCTCCCATGCTGCCATTACTGGTAGTAGAATACTGTCACATATTTGGGGGGTGCATGACTTATAGACGGGGTATGGATTGGATATTGGATTTACTGACCACTTGATACACCACTCGGAACTACAATTTACAGTTCACTGAAACACACAGACTGGTGTCCTCAGTCTATTAGTCTCCACTAGCCACTTCCTGGCAATGACTTCTACTAAGGGAGAATCTTCAGCTTCCTGCACTCAAATCCTCTTTTCATAGACACCTGTGAAGAACTCTTTGTCAACTGACAACTCAACTGGGTCCCAGGCTGGCAGCCATTCCACACCAGCCTCCTAGTCTCTCTGCACAGGCTGACTTCCAACTGACAACTGAACTCTCTCATTCACCAACCAGCTACTTCATCTCACTTCACTTAACTGAACTGCTGACAACTCCTACTCTGAAACTTGACTGATGCTCCTTATAATATTTCAGCATGAACCACATAGAAAACACACTTTTCATTGTTACAGTCGAACAATACCTTAACTGCTGCATAGAAGCAGGTGTCTGCCTACTGGACAGCAATGGCTGTATACACTACAATATTAAGAAATATAGAGTTGAGGCAGCCTCTTGTGGCACAATGTTCATACCTCATTTCACAATTAAAAACTATTGGCATGAGACATTTATGTGGTTAAATCATGATACCATACATCTGTTTTCTTTATAAATAAGAAAAGCAAACTCAACATTATGCAGCCAGAACATTTCTTTTATAGCCTAATAAGTAACATTTTTTTTTTATTTTAAAATAATTTTACAATCCACTCAATATACATAAATATAATAATTAGTAAAAGGGATGGGTGTCTGTAATATTGAAGCAGGTATCATCTTTCGATGATTCTCTGGTGCTTATCTAATGAGATCCTCTGGCCACATTCTATTTAGTCTTCTTTCTATTGCTGGTTGGTTGAAGAGGTTTCTTATTAGTTGGCTGTTGTTTTGAGCGGTCCAGTTTTTGTGTTTCTCTGTGTACGCTCTGATGACTTCTGTTACATATGGTATGCTTAGATCATTGTGTAAGGTGGCGTTTAATACATACCTGAGAGCATTAACTAGTTTTCTTAGCGTTTGGGATTGGAACGTTTGGAGAATTTTTGTGTTGGAAGGTTTGCTGCATCCCCATAACTCTATCCCGTAGGTCCAGACAGGTTTGATTATCGTTTTGGATAGGATTATTTTGTTTTCAAGAGATAGCTGTGATTTTTTGTCAATTAACCAATTCATATTTCTGGTTTTGAGCTCTAGTTGTCTTCTCTTAGCTTTTATATGCGTTCTCCACATTAGTATAAGTTACATAGGTATAAAACTGCTATTAGCACAAACTAGTACCAGAAACTTGTCAAAATTACATCAGCTTTCCAGACAAAAATGTGTAGTCCCAATCCTACTTTCATCACACATAAAACAACTTCAAACAGAATTTGTAGTTCCATTTATAATCTTCCATCATACCAAATTTCCCACATCAAACCACACTGTCTCTAATTTTTCACTTTTGACAAACAATACAATACAAACATATTTCAAAGATCTATCGCCATACAAAATACTATGCCTCATGAATGAATAGTAATTTAATTTCTTTCACATCAGAACATTGCTTTGGTTAAAATGATAAAATATTTAACACCAGTATGACTTTAAACTCGGTTTAGAAAACCAAAATTAATGGCTGTGGGGATTTGTTGCGCCGACCACGTGACACCCTCTATCCGCTAAAGTTGGCACTAACTTCGCTGACAAGTGGTGGTCGCTCGGTCGGTATAGTTTGCTTGCCGACTAAAACCACAGAGTTTGTTTTTAGTTTATGACTTCAAAAAGCATGACCAACTTTCATGAAAAACAGCCATAAGACCAAAATCAATTAACACACTCAAAAAGCAATGCTGTTTTACTTTTCAAAATTTAGCTTCTAACCTCCTCACAGCAGTGACCAACAGTAGTCCTCCACGCTGAAGTTTCCAGTCAAATTTTGCAGTCTTATTATGCAGATATATTAAAACAAAGAGAAGTGCAACACTGTCACCCTCAGTGGAGACACATACCTTGAAAATCCTGATGAGTGGGATAGTTCATACTGCAGGCCATATGATTCAGCAGAGCTAGTAAGCCAGTTGGAAGGCGGCAAGTTTAAGTCTGTATTGCACTGAAGGAGGGCAAAGTTTGCATAAGACTGTACTGATGAATACTTGACAACTGCTGTTGATTTAACAGGCTTCCGAGGTGAATCAGGGGATGGGCACATCCTCCAATTCTCTGTTCCCCTCATATCATTTTGCACCTCTCTTGTACCCTGGATTGACACAAGATGAAATTTGCAGTGGTACTGATTAAATGCATAGTTGTGTATATATTTAATGTAAAAGTTAACAATGAAGAATTCTAGCCACCTCCTGGAAATGTTTTGAAGTCTTTCTAATGATTTATAATTATCTCTGTCAAATAAATATGCAGTTCCACAGTTTGACAAAGGGAGAGCTTTAATGAATTTTGCTATCCAAAATAAGCTGGTAATTAAGAGTTTGAACAACTCAGCAGAAGTTTTATCTTAGTCTGTCAGATATAAATTTCATTTGATTGGCATCTCATATTACACATTCCTTGAATATTGGCAATTACATTAAGATTTCAGAATTTTTACAGTATTTAATCTGTTGAATGTCTTTCAGTGCATGCAATAAAACTGCATATCAAGATGTCTAACATAAAAACCAAAGACTATGCATCTCATGTTTGAAATTTTGTCATCCTTTTCTCCAACTTGTTATTTTCTAACTCTATCATACACAGCGAGGGCACCTATACAGAGAAGAAAAGTTAAGATATTTTAAAAGATTTTTCTACTGGTGGTGGAGGGGGAAAGCAATCTGATTAATAAAAAACTTCCTACAGTAACTGATTTCTTGGACATTATCCATTGCCCAAACAATATCTTGGAGACAGACTCTTGTCTCTGTTAGGTACAATGCCTACTCAGTTGGGCCCAATCAACAGAGCTAGTCCATATCTCCTAACATTGTTTTAAATAAAAATAAGATGCTGGATATGTCTAAAAAGTTAAGCACTGTATTAATATACCATCTCCATGATCTAAATCTTAAAAAAAATTAACTTCCTTACTCTCTGACCTACTCACCTCCAACTAGTGCTGAGAGGTCAAGAAAATGTGGATCTATACACTCACTCCCCCATATGCCTTCATGGTGTAGTGCTTAATTAGTTAACTTTAGCTCTTTTTTTTCTCTGTGACCAGCCAAGTTCTGGGTCAGGGATGAAACCTCTTAACTTAAACACTAAGGATGTGACAACGTACTGCCCAGTCATGGCTTTCACACGCTTCGGAGAACATAACAGACATGTATGCAGTAACAGCAGAATTATGATTAGCTTACAGCAACTGTAGAAACTTTGACAAAACCCTGCTCCAGTACAACTGTCCATCATGAATCTTATGCGAAGTCACCCAGAATTGAACCTGAGGCTCCACATAGAGAAACCAGTACCTAACCACCTTAGCTATAGCATGCCCTATGTTAGACTAATACTTCATAAAAGCAGGTGTGACCCTGCTAGAACGCAGAATATGACTAAGTGTCGAAATATAAATCAACTTGTACTGTCATCTGATGTAACTATATATTTTAGTCTGCTAAACAAAAATAATAATTTTCACTCTCATGTTCAAGCAGAATTCTGCCATCTTCAGAGGTGTCTACACAAGTTTCAATGCGATTAAAATTATACATACAATATTATTTTTAACATGGGTAACCGACTCATAAAAATTACATAATTCTGCCAAAGAACTTTGGGTGTATAAAATTTCCCTGTTGAATAGATTGAAATGTATAGTTATATTGGTGGTCTTATTTGGTTAAGTCAGGAATGAAATATATGACGATAACAATGCAGTCTTTAAAAGCATACAATATCAAAATACCAGCTTGTGAGATCTGATGTCCTCACAGTGGTAAATGTAGTGATTACAATCCACTTTCTTCCAAAAGGTGGAAAGAGCAAGTTAGGCAGACACAGTGGTACTTCTACCAGACTACACTGCGTCACATCCCACAAGAGAGAAATCTTCAAACATCTACTCACGATCACAAAAGTGCTGGCAGTACAAACAAATGCAGGAATAACAGACCACATACCTCGTGTTTACATTGGCCTGACTGATCCCCATCCATCGCGATTCGTCCTTAAAAGGCCTACTCGAATTTTTACAAATGTACATTTCAGTTACTGCAACACACAACAGATATGGCAATTAAAATACAAAATACATAACAATGTATATGCAAACCATTCACATAATTAGAAATGAGGGATATTAACCTAGACAACTGTCTTCTCATAAATGTTCCAAATAATTACCGTGTAATAATAATAATATTTCTTCCACATCTTTTCTTCAGATATATCTCAGCACCTAACCCTGCAATATGCCTCACACCTTCCGACTGTATAGGGTCTAGGACTTAACCAACCTGCTTAACTGCTTAACGTGCTAAACTGTGAATGTCACGGAGTATGGCACTAAATACCACACTGTGAAAATTTAAAAATCAACGCGTCATGTTATGGAAGAACATGCATCACGCATGGGTAGAAAAAGAATGAATTCTTGTGGGACAGCCTAAAGGAAATAGATTAGTACGAACAACTACATGTAAGTGGGAGGATAATATTAAAATGGCTGGGGTGGTATAGACCGTATAGACTGGCTTCATCCGGCTCAGGATAGAAACCAACGCAAGGTTTTTGAGCGCATGGAAGCGATCCTTTGGCTTACATAAAATTTTGGGAAATACTGGAGAAGCTGAGCGGCTGCAGCACCTCCCAAGCTCCATGGAATCATGTCATGGAGTTAGTTGGGTACATAGATCATGTTGGATAGCATGGTCACATAGTCCTGTCATCTCAAGGCGAGTTCCGAAGAGAGTCGAATTCGTTATCCGACTTCGAGGGCTTGTTTGAAATAGTAGCATGCTCAAGGATGTACAACAGATTTCCTGCGAAATAACCGCAAAAATTTTCAGAGAATTAACTGATTTTACAGAAATACGAACATCAAGAATTCGAATAACGCATTTCAAATAACAGATCTGCAGGCTGTATTTTAAATTTCATTACATAAAACAACATAATAAATGATACAAACTCCGTCCCAAGTGCAAACAATATATATTATATGTCTTTGATCTTGTTCTCTTCCACACTACATGTTTCGGCCTCTATCGGCCATCATCAGGTGTATACTCTTAACGTTGCTGCCACACTGAACCCAGTCTAAAATTTAACATTTAAAACACAATGTTATTTTCTTCGTATTATCAACATCTACCTCGTTGATATGTGTCTGGTATGTAGATTATATTGCACACGTCAAATTTGAATTTCCTGCAGTAGCACTATAAAATCTTTAGTTATGATTTTAAAATCCTTTAAAATTTTCTCCAAATTTTAAATTTAAATTTTAAAATTGTTAGGGTTACTCGCCCTATGTCTAAAGTGCTGGAGCGGCTAGTTTTTGTTTCCACACTGTACAGGTGTTATTCTGTGGAGTCTTCCTGTGTGCGTGCCGCTGCTTGTCTTTACTACGTGTGCAAATTTCNCGTATTATCAACATCTACCTCGTTGATATGTGTCTGGTATGTAGATTATATTGCACACGTCAAATTTGAATTTCCTGCAGTAGCACTATAAAATCTTTAGTTATGATTTTAAAATCCTTTAAAATTTTCTCCAAATTTTAAATTTAAATTTTAAAATTGTTAGGGTTACTCGCCCTATGTCTAAAGTGCTGGAGCGGCTAGTTTTTGTTTCCACACTGTACAGGTGTTATTCTGTGGAGTCTTCCTGTGTGCGTGCCGCTGCTTGTCTTTACTACGTGTGCAAATTTCACGTGTGCAATATAATCTACATACCAGACACATATCAACGAGGTAGATGTTGATAATACGAAGAAAATAACAATGTGTTTTAAATGTTAAATTTTAGACTGGGTTCAGTGTGGCAGCAACGTTAAGAGTATACACCTGATGATGGCCGATAGAGGCCGAAACATGTAGTGTGGAAGAGAACAAGATCAAAGACATATAATATATATTGTTTGCACTTGGGACAGAGTTTGTATCATTTATCGTGTAGAGTGCAACAGGATGCTTAAATATAATATTATAAAACAACATACAGAGAAATGGAACAAAATGTTGCAATTCATGACACAGGCCAAAGATTGAACTTCATGTTCAATTCTACAGAATGAATGTTTTAAGGAAAGGTGTAATGAGTATGGGAATTAACGCATACAGTAAATTACCAAATGAATTAAGAAATTGGAAACAATTAGGCAATTGAAAAAGAGATAAAATCCTACCAATTACAACACACGTTTCACTCTATGAATATATGTCACGCTAATTAGCAGAATACTACATATGAGTTGATATTTTATTATGAACTCTATCTGCATAGAGTGGAAGTATAAAGGAACTTATTTGAAAAACTGACGTTACTTTTAAATATGCACATAAGACGTATCCTTTTTCGATAGTTTTACCACAAAGGATTAATAAAACTGAATTAGAATTTGAAAATAAAAGTTCTGCTTCCGATGAACAGTGGCATCCTACCGAAACAGCATATTACACTGCCTTCAACAAAACAAGTAACAAATTAATTATATGGAGTTGAGCCCTTCTTGGGAAACCGCCAGTAGCTCAGTTACTCAAAAATTTCCCCACATTTTACGGGACCCATGTTCATAAGATGCCTTCATTGGTTCTTATTCGGAGCCAGGTCAATCCAATCCATACTACCTCATCCTATCTAAGATATATTTTAATATCATTCTCCTACTTACGTCTAGGTCTTCCTAGTGATCGCTTTCCTTCTGGCTTTCCAAACAAAATCGTGTAAGCATTTTTCTTCTTCCCCATGCGTGCTACATGCCCTGTCCGTTTCACCCTCTTTGACTTGGCTTGATGATCCTAATTATACTGGATGAAAAGTACAAGTTTTGAAACTTCTCGTTCCGCATTTTTCTCCAACTCCTACCACATAATCTTTCTTCTGTCCAAATATTCTCCTCTGCACCCTGTTTTCAGATACCTCCAGCCCATGTCCCTCCTTTGATAACAGATATCAACTTTCACACTCATACAAAACCACAGGCAAAATTATAATTCTGTATATTCTAATCTTACATTTTCATACAGCAAACAAGAAAACAAAATGTTCTGGACTGCACTGTATCAGGCATTGCTTGAGTTCAGTCCCTCCTTAATTTCTTCCTGAATCAAAGTGTAATTTGCTACCATCATTCCCACATATCTGAATTGTGCTATGTTTTCGAAGGATCCGTTGCATATCTTTATGTTATAATTTTCCATGCATTCTGGCAGGGATAGCGTAGCCGATACAGCGACTGTCTACGGGCTGGACGACCAAGGGGTCGGAGTTCGAGTCTCGGTGGGGGCAAGACCGGCTCTGAGGTCCACCCAACCTCCTATCCAATGGGTAGCGGGGGCTCTTTTCCCGGGGGTAAAGCAGCAGGGGCGTGAAGCTGATCACTCACCTCCAGCTAATGCCGAGGTCACGAAAATATGGATTTATACATCCACTTCCCCCACACGCCTTTATGGTGTAGTGCTTAATTAGTTAATCACAGAGATAACTTTTTTTATTCTTGCAAGTAACAGATGATAACTATGATAAAATGTAACCAGAAGTATCATGTGGCAGTAATTTGCTCCATACAAAATTTTACATGCTAACTTGATCATCGGAGACTCGTCTGTGAGAAGACAAATTTTGAATGTGAAGTATGATACGAAAACCTTCATATTTTTGTCCTTAGCTTCTTGCAGCCTGTATCTAACGTGCACGAGGGAAAGTCAGTAAATAGGTCATAAAGGGATATAAAACATAAAACATGTGATATTCGAACCTGGCAAAAACATTATTTCTCGATATATCCTCCATCAACTTGTCCCATCGCCTTACTGGTGCGTCGAAAAACGCAGCATAGAAGTTCCTGACTGTTGTCTCGGCCACTTCCCCACCTCCGTTTCAACCTCTTCGTCATCAGAGAAACGTCTGGGGCCAAGAACGAGATGTAAGGCGGATGTTCAAGAAGTTCTCACTGTAGTTCTTGAATTCTCTCCTGGGTTACTCGGGCTGTATGGTGCCTGGCATTTTCACGATGAAGCAGTACCCCTGTTACCAATTGGCCTGGATCTGTTCTGCAAATTGCAACCCGAAGCTTCAACAGAACTTCACAGTACGATGCAGAATTCACATTTTCACCACGCTTTTGAAAACGGGCTAACAGTACTCCCTGAGTATCCTAGAACACAGTAAGCATAACCTTTCCAGCTGATGGCGTTTTGGTTGAACGAGGAGGTGAACAGGGGTGTTCCCATTGCACTGAAGATAGCTTTGATTCGGGTTGGTAGTGATGCACCCATGATTCGTCCCCAGCAACAATCCTGTTAAGCATATCTTTCTTTCATACGCATACCGTAAGAGATGCTGCAAGGACAGACTCATTCGATTAATCTTTTTCTCGATCCTTCAGTTCTCTGGGCACCCACCTCGCGTATATTTTCCGAAGTTCAAATGATCATGTATTATGCTGCATGCTACACCAAGGGGCACCATAGAGCAGTTGCTACATTAACGTTATCCTCTTGTCAGCTCGAACCAACTCTTTCACCCGCTGCATAGTTGCTTCTGTCGCAATCTCAACAGGGCGACCTTCATCTGCGACTTTCGAACGTCCTTGAGGGAATTTCTTGACCCATTTGTCAATCGTTTTACACAACAAAAACTTCCCACTCCAAACAGGAAACATTTCTTTATGGATATCCTTTGCGTTGGTCCCTTTGCCCACAAATAAAAAGCACAAGAAAACGCTGCTCTTTGGTAGTATACTCCTCAAGGACCGGTCTGCTACCTAGACTGTCATGAAGCAGGTCTGTGTTGTTGTCTAATGATAATGCACAGAAAAACTGTTACCTCAGTTACAGCTGTTTTACTTCAATTTTTGGCCTATTTACTGACCTTCCCTCATACCTTCACCTTTTGGGGTTTAACTGCTTAATTAATTAAGCACCACGATATGAAGACGTATGAATGAGTGGAGGTATAGCTCCATCAATCTTAACATGGGCGTTAGATGTAGGCAATTTGTCAGTTTCACACTCTACCGCTTTACCCCCAGGGAAAAAGCCACCATATCAATTGGACAGGTAGCTAGATGAGCAATGGGGCCAAGCTGGACACCAGGGAGAAGAGAAAAATATCTTGCTTTGATGGAAATTGAACCGTACTTCCCTGGCGGTCCAACCCATTGCTCGTGGCTATACCGACTGAGCTATCCTAGTACCCAAATGACCAGGAGATACATCACTTCAAATTACAGAACTCACTCACTCACTCATGGACTCATGGAGCTGAGTCCTTCTTGAGAAGCCGCCAATTGTGCAGTTACTCAAGAACTTTCCAGAATTTTATGGAACCCGAAGGTTCATTACCGTGTTCACAAGAGTCCTCCACTGGTCCCTTTCCTGAGCTAGATAAATCCAATCCAATCCATACCATCCCATATCTCCAAGATCCATTTTAATATTATCCACCCACCCACGTATTGGTCTTTCAAGTGGTCTCTTTTGATCTGGCTTTCCCATTAATATCCTATATGTATTCCTCTTCTCCTCTTTGTGCTACATGGCCTGCCCATCTAATCCTCCTCGACTTAGTAACGTACACACTGAACGGCTTTTAAAATTATTTTAATAATTAATAGTAACTTAATTACATACAGTTATCATTAAATCTTGTTTATTGATTAAATGCAAAGATTAATGAAATATAAACTATAAAAGTTTATTTGTCTTTTTGTTCCAGCTTTGCGCTGATTTTTGTTCAGACTTGATGTTTTTTCTCATAATGTCTAGTTTTGTCAGCCTGATCGTACGCAGCTGGATGTACATTACTTACGGGATCACATGATCTGCTACTGCATGACGTAGCGTTGACAATTCTGCGTCCATACCGAACAACACTACAACGAAGTACGCGGGGAAATCCCATTCTACTAAAGCGTATGATCGTTGATGTACAGAATCGTCGAAGATACCGCAGTCAGAGCGTTTGTTAGTATATTTGTTTGCTGGTGGCTTATCTCTGTATGGTATCTATACTGTGACGCATAACGCGGAGGAAGAGTTGACTTGATAACACGACTTGAACATTTCCTTTGTTGTGAGACGGTTAGTAACGTTAGTAACGAGCTAGGTTGAGGTGCGTGAGAGAGACGCGTGTTGTGGATTGCGTAGGTGCAAACGCTTGCATGATTACTACAGTTTAATGCTGCTTGTACATGCTTTGTTCATATCGATCACGGCATTGAATGTCAATAAGTACTCTGTGATACACTGACTCTGATAACAGTTAGGGGACATAACTGAGCCAGAAATGAAGAGATGGGCACAAAGTAAAAATGTGGAACAGCTGCATTAATTAGGAAGATCTGTGCAGTGAACAGGTGTTGGTGTGTATATTGTTGTTAGCCTTTCATGCTATAGTGTTGCACTTGGTGCGTTGTTTGCAAGAAATAGGGATACATTAAATTTATGCATAAAGAAGTGGTGTTAATGTCGGTAAATGGGGACCTTATTAAGGCATACAACTCTCACTTAAAGACATTTTTTCGATGTTGAATATTTGATAGAATACAAGTACAAACAATTTATGACTTAGTGCATTGTACTGTATGTAAAACACTATTTTCTGTCATCACTTAACACTAAGGTGAATGAGATATAAAGTAAAAAAAGATACATGTAAATTTCCATTGTTCTGCCTGTACCTCTATGAAATACGTCAAGCTTTATTCAGAGTCACTGGGGTTTTGGCCTTTGTCCATCATCCCTTTCTAGAATACCGGA